GACTTAAAACAGAGGCTGATAATTTTTCCCCATGGTTCACCACTCTGATGTCAGCTTTGGCTGGCCCTTTAGTCATTCCATTGGTTTTGATCACCATTAGACCTTACATAATCAATAGGATAATGCAATACGTAAGCTCTCGCTTACAATCTATTAAAATAATGATGATACAAAACCAAGGCTGGGAACTTATTCTCAATAAAGAACAACCTAGTAAGTCAATGATTTGACTCACCCCCTTAAAATCAGTGGGGAATGTCGTACCCTGTCAAAATTGACTCCATTTTGTTGCCCTTCTAACCTCTCCAGAGTTCCTGTTCTGTATGCGCTGACCCCTCCCAACTCCTCACCCCTTGATTGCCAACTCAAATTCCTCCCAATTCTTCCCAATTCCTCACCCCTATGACTCCAGTCTTGCGATATCTGTTCCCCAAACCTTATCTCAATGAACTCTGTATGACCTCGCCAACTCAGCACCTTCACCCAACAGGACCACCCCATGAACTAATGACCCTGCCACTTCTTCTCCACCCCTCCCCTGTTTCTGCGGTTTTCAAGCTTAAATACTGCACCTTGTTAATGCTCAGCGCGCCTCTTTGCACCTTGCATAGAGACCGCCGCTAGGTACCAGCTAAAATAAAGCGCCTCTTTTAACTTTTGGACTTGCCTCGTTGTCATCTGATTTTTGAGTTACAACACTTCCAAGGTCTGTGTACTCCCCAGATGCACCCTCATTAGCACACCAGAGCACAGGCGTGCTCACTCTCGTTGCACGGCCAGCCACCCCAACTTCACTGGCTTAAAACAATGATTACTTTTTCTGACTATGTGGGTTGACTGGTTGTTCTGTTTGTGAGCTTTCTCTCTCCTTTCTTGCACTAGGAACTGATCTCAGGACCTTGCCCTTGCCAGGCATGTGCTGTGCCACTGCACTATGTCCCTAGCCCTGACGGGTTATCCTGATCTCACCTGCGTTTACTCAATGGCTGGCTACCACTGGCAGGAAGGGCAGTTGGATCGGGACACCCAGGACATCGTCAGTTACCCGCCTGGCAGCTGGGGCACCTCCACCTCTAGGAAGCTAGCTGGTTTCCTTGTGTGGCACGGGGAGTAGTGTCCTCAGAGAAGGAAAACATCGGTGTGAGGGTCTCATAAAGCCAAACAGCAGGACGTTATGCAACGTGATTCCCACTACATTCTACGGGTGAGCCCGAGTCACTGCCAGGCCAGCTTAAGTGGGTGAAGGAAGAGCTCGGCCTTTGGACTGGAGGAGTGGCAAAATCACTGCAGAACTGTGGGGACAATGGAACGGGGAGAAATTGTGACCACCGAATAACTTGCTTCCTGTGGGAGAACTGCAGTATTTACCAGGATTATTCGCTGTCTAATCCGTCCACTATCAAGTCTCAGTTATCCATGACCTGAATGCGCCTGAGTCAGAAATCTAAAGGAAATTCAACTGACATGTCAACATATAAAAATACATCTAGGGCTGGTGAGATGGCTCAGTGGTCTAAAGCACCTACTTAGAACAAGCTTAGCAAAGCACAGGGACCACGGTTCAATCCCCCAGCACCACATGCCAGCCAGCCCCGCCCCCTGGTGGGCTGAGCTGGCCACACACACACACAAATAAAAAAAAATAAAATTAAAAAAAATACATCTAAGTTCATTAACAGTAGGTAAATCCAAATAAAAATCCTATCATTTCCCACCTATTATATATTCACCAAAGAGATGTTAAACTTCCTTTCTAGTAAGTGCAAATAAAAAATCATATCAGTTTTCTATTCATTATATAGTAAAGATATCAAACAGATGTTAAACTGTTGCTGTACAAATAATGGTTAAGTTCAACCAAATAAAATTGTCCACATTCAAGTGTTTTTGACATGCAAGAGCTGCAATTTCATATAGGTCAACTGAGAAAATGATTCCTTACAGCACTTGACTATTACAGTAAAAATGATCCATCAAAAAGAAGAAGAAGAAAAAAAAAAAAAAGAATGGAGGTGGGCTGGGAGATAGCTCAGTGGAATAAGTGCTTGCCTGGCAAGTACAAGGTCCTGAATTCAATCGTTGGACTTTTATTTAAAAAATAAAAATAAAAAAAACATATGATTGGATTTGGGTTCGAATTTGCCCAGGCTGGGCTTGAATTTGCAATTTGTGTCTCAGCCCTCTAAGTAGCTGAGATCACAGCTGTGAGCCACTAGGCCTGGGTAGGTTGTCTCTTCAAATCATTCACTCTGAGGAAAGTACTGTGCCACAAAAAAATAAAATTAAATAAATAAATAAAAAATAAATGGAGGGCTGGGGATATAGCTCAGCAACATAGGCACCTGTCTGGCAAATGCAAGGTCCTGAGCTCGATTCCTGGTGCTACACACAGAGAGACAAAAAATGGATAGTACAGTAGGGTTGTAAGATGTAATGTTTCTTTTTTTTAATATTCTTTTTTTTAATTTATTTTTTATTTGTGTGTGTGTGTGTGTGTGTGTGTGTGTGGCCGGCTCAGCCCACCAGGGGGCGGGGCTGGCTGGCGTGTGGTGCTGAGGGATTGAACCACGGTCCCTGTGCTTTGCTAAGCTTGTTCTAAGTAGGTGCTTTAGACCACTGAGCCATCTCACCAGCCCCTGTAAGATGTAATGTTTCAAGCATTACAATAAACTGCATTTCTACGAATGAACAAGATCAGAAAAAGCAATGTTAAAGGAATATAAAAAACATGCACACTATGACTAACATTTTATACATTAGGCATGCACACACGTATGTAGCTGTAAAAGAACCTAATAATGAAGGAGGTGGATACACACCAGCTCCTGGTGGTGCTTGCCTGCTAGGTAAAAGAAGCCGGGCAACAGTTAGAAGGGTCTTCAGCCTTAACTGACACCTTATTTTTTAAATTATTTTTAATGAAGAAATTATGACTAAAGTTTCACATTTTAAATTCTGGGTATTAGAGGCAGGCCTGGTGGTGCACGTCTGTAATCCCAGCATTCTGGGAAGCAGAGGCAGGAAGGTTACAATCCTGAGAGCAGACTGGGCTACTGAGAACAAGACTCAAGAAAAAAGGAAAGCTTTAAAGGTCCTGGGTTTAATCTCTAGTACTGGGGATTAGGGTACATTGGGGAGTGAGTACTTGTCATGTAAATCTTTTGTGTATATGAAATTTCACAAGACCAAAAAAAAATCAGTTTGACACAAACAAAGCAAAGCAAATCATTCTAGCTAATGAGCATCTGGACAAGCTGTGGGTTTGGAGACAAGAACAAACAAAACAAAAAATAACACTCCCAATGCAGAAAACTTGAGGTTTTTTCCCTAATATTAAGGGTTAGTAAACCCTGAAACACACTACTATGGGAAATTTGGAACTTTATCATTACTGTTTTTGACAGAATTAGGAAAGACGGAGTTAACGTAAGAGTCAGGGATATAGTTCAGCAGCACAGTGCCTGCTGGCAAGTGTGAGGTCTTGACTTTTATCCCCCAGCTCCAAAAAAAAAGGATTCTTCTTGCTCCTTATGCTAATGTGCAAGAGAGAAGAAGATAGAGGATGAACTATGGAAAAGACACTCAATAATTGCTTTTTAAAATTCTCAGATCTTCAAATGACAAATGATGTTAAACTCAAGAAATTGTAGGGACAGGGTGATGGCTCAGTAGAACAAGCACTTGCTTGGCAAGCGCAAGGGCCTGAGTTCAATCCCCGGTTCTGCCAAAAAAA